GAAAAACTGAAACACTCCACTCCACTCCACTCCACTCCACTCCACTCCACTCAAATGCCAACATACTCAAATGCCCCACTCACTGAGTAGATGCTCCAGATTATCTGCTATGGTTGATCTGTGGCATAAGACTCGACTCATCCCACTCAATCACTGATCCAGTAACATAGTTTCAATGCAGCTTGTCATACCCTTGAAGCAGGTTTCTCAATATTGATATCAATGAAAAAAACTTAACCAGTGCCCAAACCTTGTGAGAGCACTTATCTCTGATATAAATCAAACATGGTGTCTTGACTTTGTTCGCTGGGGGTTTACAACTATATTTGATGGATGGAGATTTTCTAAACAATTCTGTACTGGATGCGGCCACCTTAGTCTGTCAAACAGACCATGATACAACTATATCTAACACAGTGGGCAAGTCTAGGATGTTTGGCAAGTCTAGATTACTGTAGTATCATCTGAAAATGAAGAGGGTCTCTGGGCTACTTTTTAATATATTTTTATTAAGATAATTAAACATCTGTTTCCTTCTGTAAGATATGTTTCAGAGACCAGATGTTAGTCTACAGCCATCTAAGCATGTGAGGACAGACTGACAAAAGAATATTTGTTGGTGTTTTATTGATGATCATGGTCCAAAAGCAGTTCTTGTTTTGAGGGTAACGTTTAAACAAAGGTCTGGACATTGACAGGCCCTGAAAATGATTATAATGAAATTCTGTTCAAACGTGTGGTTCACTTGAAGTGAGCCAAAATGAAGTTGGGAAAACCCAGACTTAGTACTGATGACTGAAGTTGCAGTACGTCTTCCATTTACAAAGATGTCAGTGGGGTAGCCTAGTGGTCAAAGTGTTTGTCAAGCCAAACGCCTGGGTTCGATTCCCCATTCTTGGTGTCCTTCACTGCGATAATGCTGAGGGCTTTATGAAACCCAACTCACTCACTCACTCAAAAGGAATCTAGAGCTCAACATGCATTTTCCACCTCCTTCCACACATGGCTTCCAAGCACAGCGCAATCGTTTATGTCCAGGCCTGTTTTTGTGGCAATCAATGGAAACTGTATTACAGTAGGCAAGGTGTTCACCTTCCGTGATCCCCACATCACCTGCCCACTCAGGCAGCAGTGATGATGACTGCATAGATGCACTCAATACTATTTCATGTGATTACTGGGTATGTGTCTATCACCAAGGGAAATCAGATGTGAAATGCTATTATTACTTTGCCTGGAATTTCATCAAAAATGAAATGTGATTTTTGAGTTTCAGTATGTTCAGAAAACCATAATGAAAGGGGGAAGGGTTGTATTTTCTGTTACTATTTTTTTATATTATTAATATGAATTTTATTGCTCTTGAATGCTTAATACTGGTATTGTGTCTGAACACAATGGATCAAAAGTAAAGTATACTTTTATTTTAATTTCACAGACAGCATCAGTTGTTTGAGTCGATGTGCCGTTCTTAAATAGATTTATAAAATTGTATTCATTTGGTTATATCAGGGTTTTACCTTGACTTACAAAACTGGGAGTTCAGGAGACCCCCAATAATTAATTTTAAGGGTCCTTGCAGGCTATATGATTGTCCTGTAAAGTAAAAAAATGGTGTGGTGTACTGTAAGTTTAGATAATTACTTTAGAGCCTGGAATGAATCAATGATCCTGTGGACAGTGGTCATTATTAATGGGTAAAATAACACACACCCATAACTGCTCTTGATGCGCTGTAGGTACAGTGAATATTATTGTGGATCCCTCAATTTTTCTACATCCATTCTCTAGATTTGTGAGTACTGGACGTACATTTGTGCCCATGTAAAACCCTGATATGTTAATCAACTTTCATTTACCATTACTTCAATATTTATCCATTGTTAGAAATTCCAGCAAAACCCTGCAGTTCATTGTAACCAATACTGTTACAGTGATAGAAACTAACATTTTTAGTCCACTAGTCCTTGTGATGATGACATATAGTAAAACCCTTAAAAACGGCAAATTTCTACTAATAAGTCCTTTGATACCTTAACTATTGGGCAGTTTGGCAAGGACTATAGACTAGTGTCAGTTTCTATTGCTGCCATTAATAAACAAGCAGTTATGTATTTTTTTAAATAAGATAATTATATTTCTATATATCTACAAAATAAAATGAATAAATTCCAAATGAAGCCCAGAACAAAAATGAGGCAATGTAGACTTGCTAAATAATTCTAGACTTGAGTTGGACTCCTTTTAAAAAATGTTCTCGAGGGTCTTGGAGACAGACTTCCAGGCCACAGCTCATTGACAGTTCTTGGGAGCAGTAACAAGGATAGCTTTATTACCCAGCTAACAAGCACCTGTCACATGAACAGGGAATAACACTATGGGTGGAGATACATCCGCTAAAGGATATGTGATATGGGCTGTTGTATGTCGTAAGTGCCCATCTGTCACGTTTTATTGGATGTTTTAGTGTAAAAGGATTTTTCCACACTCTAACATCACTGGAATTGGAGGCGTGTGGTGCAAGAGTTGTCAGTTTAAAGAGTGAGTGAGTGAGTTGGGTTTAACGCCGCTTTTAACAGTACTACAGTTATATCACCCCGTGTCAGCTTAATGTGTGAGGAAAGCCCAAAGTGATGCAGGTCTCAGAGGTTTACCATTTCGCTGAAACCCACGAGCACGGGTATGGTGCTGACAAACCTAGAAACATAATCAGGGTGAACCAGGATTCAAACCCACAATCATAGGTTTCTGGCGTGCCCAAGGGATGCAACTCTGCACAGCAAATCACGGTGCCTTAGACGACTTAGGCACCTGTGCCCCCGTCAGTTCAAAGACAGAGACATCGGTTCTGATTGTAGCTATGGGCTAGCACAATAGTTATTGTGTTTGCTGGTTGCACATTTGTAGGTTTGATTACGGGAATTTTGGAATCGCCTGTTCCCATGCAATATACACTCATATGGGCTTTTTGCAACTGTGTCTATTATTTGATGTAGGAAAGTTTAATCTCAACATAATATGTGAGAACTCACTGTTGGATTCTAGTTCTACAGCTCTAGAATGAGAACAGTGCCTGGATTTCACTTCTAAAAGTGTAAAGCCCTGTATATACTCTGATTTTGCATGTAGGTTGTGTTCCTCTGATGATACAGTGTGTTCAATACATTTGTGATATCTTTTTACTTGTAATCTGAGTGACTATGCTTGTCGTAAGAGGTGACTAACGGGATCAGGTGGTCAGGCTCGCTGAATTTGTTGATGCATGTCATTGTATCCCAATTGCGTGGATCGATGCTCATGATGTCAATCACAGGATTGTCTGGTCCAGACTTGATTATTTACAGACTGCCATCATATAGCTGGAATATTGCGGAGTGCTGCTTTAAACAACAAACAAACAAACAAGCTTGTAACCTGAAAATGAAAGTGCTGATGCAGACGAGCATCCATGATCAGGACAGACATTGATGCTGGCTAGGGCAGTTCATTCATCTGAAATGCAATGGAACGTTGCTGTAATTATGAAATAAATAAAGAAGCATACATGATGGTGATATTCTTATATATCATGCAACACATTGCCTATTGCTGCTAAATATGATACCAGTTCAGTATATATGATGAGAGAGTTATGACTTCATAAATGCTAGGTTAGAAAGGCAGCCGATAAGCATATAACCCCCAGACCTTGGTGTGTGGTATAGGCTAAATTGACTGGCTGTCATCAGTTTATTGGCTGCAAGAGTATATGAGGATAGGACCAGACACTGGGTATCAGCTGCAAGACACATCATGTGGCCTGTTGTGTTTTATGCCATCTCATCTCTCACAGGCTAGGAGGCTGTAACTATGTATTAGGACTGGACCAGACTTCATTGATAACAGGCAGACCAGATTGACCTTCTGTTCTGAAATAACTGCTCAGCTTCAGTTAAGGTTTAAGAAAGATTTAAAGTGAATGGGTATAGGAGATTTTAAGAGACCAGACTGAACAAGGTGTTCAATATTTTGAAGCGATTATATAAAGTTTGTCAAGTCAGGAATATTATAGAATTTGATTCTGAATGTGGAGGGGAACCAGTGTGAAGCAGAACATGGATGGTTAATTTGAGATCATTTTGAAAAAATAAAGAATTTGAACTATAGGTTTGAGGTGCAGATCAGTTGTTGTTTGATACTTACCTTTTGAAAAGCATGTTCTGGGCACTCAAAGACACAGAGACTGGATTTCTTGTTACTTTGAACACGGACTTATATAACCTTATGTATGTCGCGGCACAGATAGTTGCAGGAAATCTGTAGCGTTTCCTATCCAGGTTATATAGGAGAACCCACTCATCCAATGGTAGATGACCAGACGATGGAAACATGAATATATTAGAACACTCGAAACACAGGTTTCAAAACGTCTGGTGTCACCCTGGGTAAGTGACTCAAATGTGCCTCTTCTACCCCGGCGGAGAAGGGGTACCTGACAAGTGAGGCTGATATAAAAACCCTCTAGCGCCCCTAGGCAGCTCTTTTGCATACTCCCCAGGAAGTTGAGAAAGATAACTGGCATGCATATGGAGCCACTGTTTGGGGAAACAAATACACCGCATTTCAACAGATACTAGTATCTTAATAAGTGCAGTATATAATGTATAATATACAAATATGTTCTGTGGCATGTTTCTTTTGCTAAGATTCCCAATCGAGGTGGTACAAAAAGCCAAATGGTTTCAGAAAGCTGACATCTGATTGGCTTCAGAATCTATGTATGTTTAATTAGGATGGGACAGTCAAAGTATGCTCAGGATTCACCTGATGAGACCTTCTATGGAGGTGTCATCAGATCTTGGCACACAGAGAGCTATATTTATTGGAGTAAAAGATCAGTTTTTAATGAGATTGCAGTTGAGAAACGTCTGATTATTAGGTTCATCTGTAGTACCGATCCTGTTTCATCTCAACCTTTCTCTCTGATGTTTTAGTCTAGTTGAACATTTTTTCTGTTTCAGGGCATATTGGTCCAGGAAGTAGACGAGGGTCAACCCTGCCTGGCCTGTACGGACCACTGTCCCGGCTTCAGCCTCCATGTATGGAGGTAGGTTTGACCGGGCTTGTTATATAGAGGGAAAAGGGGCTCCAGTGGTCTTTAGCACTGCTACTTTCAATGCTGATTTGTGTCCTCACCTGCGAGGTTCCGGGTTCATCATCAGCTTCTGTACACTTGCCTACAGTGACATGGTACTCACACCATTGGTCACTGCTGTTTTCACTCGTGGAACGTGTCTAACAGCAAAAGAATCACTTTGTTGGCAAAATGGGTCCTACCTTCATTTTTAATAAACAGTTTTATCGTTCTTAATTTATGCTATATCTACATTGTACAATGTACACAGATTTGAGACTTAAATTTTGTTCTAGTCTTTATTTAACTGGTGTTGACACTCACGTTTGAGCTGAAATAGTATTGACTGAAATGAGACATTATTATTTTCAAATAGGAGACCATATATTCAGGAAGTTTCAAACCTTTGTAATAAAAATAGTGTTTATACCCTATGAAATATGCAAATTCAAGCAAAATTATCATGAATTAGACCCATGAAGATCCGGGGTAGAATAGGTCTTCAGCAACCTATGCTTGCTGTAAAAGGCAACTGTGCTTGTTGTAAGAGGCGACTAACGGGATCGGGTGGTCAGGCTCGCTGACTTGGTTGATGCATGTCATCGTATTCCAATATGCGTGGGTCGATGCTCATGATGTCAATCACTGGATTGTCTAGTCAAGACTCAATTATTTACAGACCGCTGTCATATAGCTGGAATATTGCTGAGTGCAGCGTTAAACAACAAACAAACAATATCAGGTATTAAGTTTCTTGATGCGTATTGTGTTGTGAACAAAGTATCGCAATGCATATTGTATTTGGAGATAGTTGAATCATGACATTCCTAGTGTGTGTGAGGCAGATTATGTCCTCTAGTTGTATTCTGATGGTCGAAAGTAACCAATGATTTACCCTTTACCAAATTAGACTGATGATAGATTCATGGTAAGACTCCAAAATCAATTGTGGAGAAAAGTGCAATGAAATATTGAAGTTTTTCCTAACATCCATTAATGTGTACATTATGGCACATAAATACTCACGGGGTCACAGGTGGCCCAGTCGTCTGAGGCACCGTGATTCGCTGTGCAGTATTGCGTCCCTTGGGCATGCAGAAACCTATGATTGTGGGTTCGAATTCTGGTTCGCCCCAATTATGTTTCGAGGTTTGTCAGCACCATACCCGTGCTCGTGGGTTTCACCAAAGTGGTAAATGTCTGAGACCTGCATCACTTTGGGCTTTCCTCCCACATTAAGCTGACATATAGCTGGAATACTGTTTAAAACGGCGTTAAACCCAACTTACTCACTCACTATAAATATTCACATCAGTACGGTACAACAAATGAGACATTTGTGTTTAGGAATACCTTGAAAACAGTTAAGTTCATGATATGCAGATGTATATGGAGACGGTATGTAGTAAATGTTTGGAGGATGCCATGCGAGATAACTATATTGTTATTCAGTTTCCATGAATCTGACAAGTGTATCTCTTATACCCATCGTGTTATTGGTTTAGGGACTGAAAGGTCTAAAATACCAAGACCCACGACTGAAGGATGCCTCCACTCTGACAAGACGAGACTTCCAAAAGCCACTTAAATGTCATAGAGTGCTATTTGTTTATGTGTAAAATATGGATTTTCTGTCCTGGAATTATGTTGTGTGGGGTTTAAATGACGAAGTTCAAGTGAATATTTGTCCCCATGCTGAATGTGGTGCCGTTTTTGAATAATCCATACAGGGAGAGTTTGATGCTCTACATCTGATACTGTTTTGAAGCTCTCTGGGACTGTCTCGACTGTGGGATTACCCGTGAGACAAACATTCTCAGAAAGATTTTGAAAGCTTGTAGACTAAATGATCTGAGATAGCTCTCATTGGAGTGCTTAATGTTTATATGATAACTTTTGAATTATTGCCAAAGAAGAGAATGTGGAAATGAGATGTTTGCTGTGGTATTAAGTTTATTAAGGGACGGTGAGGTAGCTTAGTGGTCAATGGGTTTGTTTGTTATACCCTTGACCTAAAAGGGTGGGGATATATAGTTATACCAAGGAATTCCATCCATCTGTCCATCCGTCCATCTGTACATATGTCCATCCATCCATCCATCATCCTTCCTTCCTTCCTTCCTTCCTTTTGTGTTTTTGTGCGACCTATAACTCAAAAACTACTTCATGGATTCTTTTCACAGTTTTACAGTTTCTATACCAATAGGAAAGTTGCAGTGCAAAATGTGTTTTCAATATTTGGGTTTTCTGAAAAAATACAGCTATTTTTCAGTTTTTTGCTTGCTTACTGAAACATTTGTGCAACCTACAACTAGAAAACTACTTCATGGATTTTTTTCAAATTAGAGAATTGCTTCCATATTAATAGAGGAGTTGCAGTGCAAAGTTAAATTTGATTTGTGTATTTTCTGAAAAAGAAACATGCTTTTTTTCACTAGACTGGTCCAATGAGTAGGAGATTACATGGGCGTGCACATCATCATGTACATGCTGTTTGAATCACCTGTGTGCCTGACCTGCATGTTCCACTTGACAGTGCATTAAACTGCTAGTGACTCACAATAAACACTGTGATGTCAGACAACAAGGCCCTTCTTGTGTTTGAAAGTAGAAAGTAGTTCAAGTGTTTCAGGATCGGTCTATCTTGACAGCTGTCTGCGTTTTAATTTGTTATAGAAGATAGGTACATGATAGATATTTGTATCATTCAACAATTGAAATCCTGATTTTCCTTTTACATTAAACTATATATTTGTATACCTTTGTTATCCGCAAAAATTGTACATAAATGTAAAATAGTTTGGAGACATATTGAAATGCATAAGTGTTGAAATATAAGGCATGCTAAGAGCATGTAGACTGTATTGCAGGCACACACTGCTAGTGTCCATACCCTGCTAGTGTCCTTGTACACTGCCATACCCTGCTAGTGTCCTTGTACACTGGCATACCCTGCTAGTGTCCTTGTACACTGGCATACCCTGCTAGTGTCCATACCCTGCTAGTGTCCATACCCTGCTGGAGTCCTTGTACACTGGCATACCCTGCTAGTGTCCATACCCTGCTGGTGTCCTTGTACACTGCCATACCCTGCTAGTGTCCATACCCTGCTAGAGTCCATGTACACTGGCATACCCTGCTGGTGTCCTTGTACACTGGCATACCCTGCTTATGTCCTTGAACATGGGCATACCCTGCTAGTTTCCTTGTACATGGGCATACCCTGCTAGTGTCCTTGTACACTGGCATACCTTGCTAGTGTCCTTGTACACTGGCATACCCTGCTGGTGTCCTTGTACACTGCCATACCCTGCTGGTGTCCTTGTACACTGGCATACCCTGCTGGTGTCCTTGTACACTGGCATACCCTGCTAGTGTCCTTGTACACTGGCTTACCTGCTGGTGTCCATACCCTGCTATTTTCCTTATACACTGGCATACCCTGCTGGTGTCCTTGTACACTGGCATACCCTGCTGGTGTCCTTGTACACTGACATACCCCCCTGGTGTCCTTGTACACTGGCATACCCTGCTGGTGTCCTTGTACACTGGCATACCCTGCTAGTGTCCTTGTACACTGGCATACCCTGCTAGTGTCCTTGTACACTGGCATACCCTGCTGGTGTCCTTGTACACTGGCATACCCTGCTAGTGTCCTTGTACACTGGCATACCCTGCTGGTGTCCTTGTACACTGGCATACCCTGCTGGTGTCCTTGTACACTGGCATACCCTGCTGGTGTCCTTGTACATGGGCATACCTTGCTGGTGCCCTTGTACACTGGCATACCCCCCTGGTGTCCTTGTACACTGGCATACCCTGCTGGTGTCCTTGTACACTGGCATACCCTGCTGGTGTCCTTGTACACTGACATACCCTGCTGGTGTCCTTGTACACTGGCATACCCTGCTAGTGTCCTTGTACACGGGCATACCCTGGTGGTGTCCTTGTACACAGGCATACCCTGCTGGTGTCCTTGTACATGGGCATACCCTGCTGGTGTCCTTGTACACTGGCATACCCTGCTAGTGTCCTTGTACACTGGCTTACCTGCTGGTGTCCATACCCTGCTATTTTCCTTATACACTGGCATACCCTGCTGGTGTCCTTGTACACTGGCATACCCTGCTGGTGTCCTTGTACACTGACATACCCCCCTGGTGTCCTTGTACACTGGCATACCCTGCTGGTGTCCTTGTACACTGGCATACCCTGCTGGTGTCCTTGTACACTGGCATACCCTGCTAGTGTCCTTGTACACTGGCATACCCTGCTGGTGTCCTTGTACACTGGCATACCCTGCTGGTGTCCTTGTACACTGGCATACCCTGCTAGTGTCCTTATACACTGACATACCCTGCTGGTGTCCTTGTACACTGGCATACCCTGCTGGTGTCCTTGTACACTGGCATACCCTGCTGGTGTCCTTGTACACTGGCATTCCCTGCTAGTGTCCTTGTACACTGGCATACCCTGCTGGTGTCCTTGTACACTGGCATACCCTGCTGGTGTCCTTGTACACTGGCATACCCTGCTAGTGTCCTTGTACACTGGCATACCCTGCTGGTGTCCTTGTACACTGGCATACCCTGCTGGTGTCCTTGTACATGGGCATACCTTGCTGGTGCCCTTGTACACTGGCATACCCCCCTGGTGTCCTTGTACACTGGCATACCCTGCTGGTGTCCTTGTACACTGGCATACCCTGCTGGTGTCCTTGTACACTGGCATACCCTGCTGGTGTCCTTGTACACTGGCATACCCTGCTAGTGTCCTTGTACATGGGCATACCCTGGTGGTGTCCTTGTACACAGGCATACCCCCCTGGTGTCCTTGTACACTGGCATACCCTGCTGGTGTCCTTGTACATGGGCATACCCTGCTGGTGTCCTTGTACACTGGCATACCCTGCTAGTGTCCTTGTACACTGGCATACCCTGCTGGTGTTCTTGTACACTGGCATACCCTGCTGGTGTCCTTGTACACTGGCATACCCTGCTGGTGTCCTTGTACACTGGCATACCCTGCTGGTGTCCTTGTACACTGGCATACCCTGCTGGTGTCCTTGTACACTGGCATACCCTGCTGGTGTCCATACCCTGGCATACCCTGCTAGTGTCCTTATACACTGGTATACCCCGCTGGTGTATTTAAAGGGGGGCATGGGGTCACAATTAGCTGTGCATAGTTGCATCCTTTGAGCATGCCACAAACCTTGCTATTAGTGTGGTCCTGATTAGGTTTCTGGGTTTGTCAGCAATATACAACATCTGAGACTTTCCTCCCACTTAAATCTGCCATGCCATGATATAACTTGAATACTGTTCAAAGCAGCGTTAAAAACCCAACTTGCATTGTATTTAAACATTCGTTTGAAAGTCTTTAGTTACATGATAATCTAGCTGTGGAGGGGGCACGGGTGGCCCAGTAGTCTACGGTGCCGTGATTCTCTGTGCACAGTTGCATCCTTTGGGCATGCCAGCAACCTATGATTGTGGGTTCGAATTCCGGTTCACCCCGATTATGTTTGTAGGTTTGTCAGCATCATACCATCTCGTGGGTTTCACCGAAGTCGTAAACGTCTGAGCCCTGCATCACTTTGCGCTTTCCTCCTACATTAAGCTGAAACGCCATGATATAACTGTTAGAAGCGGTGTTTAACCAAACTCACTCACTCACTAGCTATGGAAAGTGATGGATGTTGTACCATGAAACATGAGCCTCTCTTTCAGCCAGATTTACCCGTCCCGCAGTCGACAGTCGCTGTTGTAGTTAGTGGACTCTCATCAATAATTACTTGTATTTGATCGCTGTAATTGACAAGCTATCATCGCTGCACAACATCCAATCATAGCAACTTACTGACAGCGATCCGTCACTAACGACATGTGTTTAATGTAGTGTTTATGACAGGAGAATTCCTGCCCAGAATACATCAGATGAAGGGAGCTGGTCATGTGTAGGGGACTGGAGAGTATTAATAGACAGCCCCTTTGCAAAGTCTTTGATAGATTAACCATTGCTTTACCGATTCTAGGGATTGTTTTACTCAAGTGGGATTATGAAAGGGTTCCACAAATGAAAAAGACTTTCATCATTGTTTATAAAACTTTCGGTCACAGAATGATAGTTTCCTTTATTAATGTACGTATCAAAGAAGGCGTTATCAGCAAGAATGTTATTATTGGATATTTTATGGCTTTTGATCAAATCTCATGATTTTTCTGAACATACAAGAATCATCGAGTATTTTTTAAGTAATAGCCTGACTGAAAGATAATAGGAGTAGGATTTCTTTGTAATTGAATCTAAATCTCATAGTAATACAATTTTGTCTCGCATCTGCACCAAGAGTTCGCACCTCATACTATAGACGTTGTCATCCATGCAAAGTGCTTGCTATCACCTAACCCAACTTCTACTGTGCCAATGAAAGAATTAATACAATTTCTCATACGATTTTATTGGAAAAGAAGTCAGGATTTGTTTTACAGTTCCCATTTCTTCAGCAGTGAAAGATAAGAAACACCTAAATACATCAAAACTCAATTGTTGTTTTGCGTGGTGTTTGTTTTTTATTTTCTTGTCATAGAATAAAAACAATAAGAGCATGAATAATAAATTTTACAACAAAATCAATGCAGTCTTCAGTTTTAAACATTCCTTGGAAGAAATGTTTTAAATTCTCATTATTTGCCCTGAGAAGGGATCCTAATGACCCATGAGGAAATATATGGCTTGTCAAAGGTTGACAGTTTTATGTTAAATATCTCTATTGGAAGAAGTTGTTTTTGCCACAGCTAGTGTTATTTCAGCCATCCATCCCTTTTAATTTGATCTGAAATATGAGCGCTCAGCTTGCTGAACCGATTCATGGAAGGGGGTATCACGCCACTCTGTGGCACGATACAAATGACAGAAAAGCAGTCTCCATGTCTCAATGTCAACCCATGTACCCCACCTATGTCACGGGACGAGGAGGTCAGAGGCTGACAGTGGTGTGACCAACCAGTGTATAGATCTGGTGATTCTTTTCACCATGGATAATGGACCCCTGAAGATCCGGGGTAGAATATCCATGCTTGTTGTAAGAGGCCACTAACGGGATCGGGTGGTCAGGCTCGCTGACTTGGTTGATGCATGTCGTCATATGCCAATTGCGTGGATAGATGCTCATGTCAATCACTGGATGGTCTAGTCCAGACTCAATTATTACCAGACCGCTGTCATATAGCTGGAATATTGCTGAGTGCAGCATTAAACAACAAACGAACAAACAACATGGGTAATGTTGTAGAATATCTATCCAAATTTTATACATGTTCTGGAAAGATTATTGTAATTTGTCTCTTGAAAAATCTCCAACTGCCTGACCTTGACAGTATGGATCATTGCTCATGCTGTCAGGCAGGGTCCTGTTCTTCAAACCGATCTTAGCACCACACAATGTTCAAAATGCCATCGACTTTATAATTTGGGCTTGTAATATTTCCGTAAAGCTGACCTAACTGACTAGTTGAAAATTCTAGTCAATACTTACATATTTCTAGTATTTATGCGAATCACCAAGTCAATTAAGATGGCATTTAATGTTATAGTCTGTTTTCATTTTGTAGTTTTATTGAAAAGTGGGGTTTTGCTGTACATTCTGATTATGATAGATATGTATGTACATGTGTTATAAGCTGTGCGTGTGAAAGTCTAAGAAGCACCACAGAAGGTCATAAGTCAGTGTTAAAGAATGGGAGTTACGATCATCTTAGCGCTAAGATATCTTTGTGGAACAGCTCCCAGATCTGTTGCAGTTAGTTGAACTGGTCACTCGGTCGGAGTGTTCATCTTCAATCTGGGGCGGTCGGGTAGCCTCGTGGTTAAGGCATTCACTCGACACGCCGAAGACCCGGGTTCGAATCCTGACATGGGTACAATGTGTGAAGCCCATTTCCGGTGTCCACGGCCATGATATTGCTGGAATATTGCTAAAAGCGGCGTAAAACCATACTTACTCACTCATCCTCCGTCTTGACAAACACAATATCGTGGCAAGTAATTCATGAAGTCTGGGTCAGACAAACCAGTGATTGAAATCAGGGTTCCATAGGTGTGATGAAACACAATCAGCCAGGACTCAGGTTGCTGAATTTTCCCATTTTCCTTGAGAGGCAGGGGATCTACTCTGTCCTGGATCCTCATTGGGTTTGGGGATCAGTTCCATAATCGACTTCCTTTTAGTTGAAATAGTGCAGCTAAATTGAAAGATTAATTTCCTTTCCTTGATCAACTTATTTTCTGTGAGTTGCTCTAATACTTCAACAATGGCCAAGCCCATCTTGCATTCTTTCTTCGCGCAACCACTTCATCATCACAAGAACTGGAGCAAATATTGGACCTGCACTGAACCCTATCACTGCTCCTAATCCCTTCCTTCGGAAAAAATTAATTGAAGCCATGAACTAACTCCTTTACAAGAATGCACCTACAATCTCAGTCTGAAGCTGCTCAAATTCAAGATGCACAGATGCTCTCGGCTTGCCTCGTTGGGTGGACAGTGATCAATTATCTAATTTGCAATTCAGTGAAGCACACTATTCTTGTTTACACAACTACTTTCAAGGAACATAGAGATCAATATCTCTCATGTTATTTCAGTGTCTGACTTCACTGCTAGACCAAAGCTCCAGTCTAGTAAAATTTGTTTTGTTTTGTTTGTTATTTAACGCCACTCAGCAATATTTCAGCCATATAATGGCAATCTGTAAATAATCAAGTCCAGACCACACAATCCAGTGATTGACATCATGATGACATGCATCAAACAAGTTGCAGAGCCTCTTATGACAAGCATGGGTTGCTAAAGACCAATTTTATCCTGGGTCTTCATGGAATGTGGGGCTAGTTATTAGTAGTTAATTTACTTAGTTGATATGTAAGGAGTAAAGTAGACTGAAAATAATGCACTGTTGTATTAGTATAGTGTAAGCATTTTTGCACAGACCATTTTTCTTCTTTGTCATCTTTCATTTTTATGGCACAACTGATATGGGCACACAGGGTTGCTTTTAGGGTCACTTTAACTGTTGAGTTTTGGGATAGCATCAAACACTATTGCAATTGCAATACATCCCCCTAAGACTCGTGAAGATCACGGGGTAGAATAGGTCTTCAGCAACCCATGCTTGTCGTAAAAGGGCGACTAACGGGATTGGGTTGTCAGGCTCGCTGACTTGGTTGATGCATGTCATCTAAACCCAATTGCATGGATCGAGGTCATGATGTCAATCACTGGATTGTATGGTCAAGACCGCCGTCATATAGCTGGAATATTGCTGAGGGTGGTGTTAAACAAACAAACAAACAAAAAACAAACAAACAAACATTCCTATAATGTGAATGTCCTGGCTTTATTTGACATGACATCAAGTCCATTCTCCCCTGTGAAGAGCAGGGTTAGAATTTGTCTTCAGCAACCCATGTTTGTCGTAAGAGGCAACTCATGGATTCAGGTGGCCAGGCTTGATGACTTGATGGATGCATTTCAGTGTATCCCATTTGCATAGGTTGATCTTCATGATGTCAATCACTGGATTGTCTGGTCCTGACTCGATTATTTACAGACCATATAGCTGGAATATTGCTGAGTGCGGTGCTGAACAACAAACCAAACCAATTCTTAGTGTACCTGAAGCATCTGATGCAACAACTAACTCATAATAAAAGGACACTCGCTGTGGATTTAATTTCAGAGTTTGATCACGATGATATATGATGATTTGCTGTCTGTTTCAGAAACACTTGTCAGAACTGCAAGTGCCCCCGTGAGCTTCATGATGTGTACAATGAGAACTTTGTCAACGTCCGAGATCGCCTGGGCTGGAAGCGCCAAGATGACCCCTCACTGCAGGTGTCGAAGGAGAAGACGTTACGAGAGGGCTACACCTGGGTGCCTCCAGGACTCTCCAGCCAGAAGGTACATTTGTCACTTTGATTGCCATCTCATCATGTAAAAGGATTACTAATTCACTGGGAATCTTATTATTTAGCCATACAACTATATGTTGATATGTATAAATTTGTGGTTTCCAAAGAAAACAACAATATTAAACGTCAATGCCAGAGAATAATCGGTCTAACTTTCTACCCAAACAGATTCCATTGGGAGTAAAAGGCAAAAAAGCAGTAACTATATGAAAGGTTCACTGAAAATCAGTGATGACTAGGGCTGCAACGAATACACTGTGACAGGAATACGATTCATATTCGTATTCATGAATATAGGGCGACGAATACGAATAGCAATTCACAAATACAATAACAAGTCAGCAGTTGATGTATTATTTGTTATATTCAGTGAAACAATAACAACATCAATTATTTGACATGGTTTGTTAATTATTAATATATTATACATTTATATACTGCGCTTATCCAGGAGCTAGTATCTGCACAAATGTGACAATGACCAGTGACCACAATACTGTCAAATTAAATATTATGAGAGTGTTGTCTTTTGAAGACATCTATGCATATAATATGTTCTTATGGATATTTTTAGGTACAGGACATGTAAATGCATATGACTGCATATTCATGAATCTCATATTCATTCGATTCTAGTGGCCACGAATAACGAATTCAACTCATGAATGGATACGGTTTTCGATTCACCGAATACGCGAGTGAATCGTAACAGCCCTAGTGATGACACCAGAAAATATTCAGATTTGTGTGCTAATTTATGTGAAGAAAGTATTGCCTTTTACATCCTGCTTTGTTATGATTGGTTACCTTGCAAACATACATAAGCCTTTAATGATTATTGCGTTGAAGTGTGTTTATTCATTGTGGAGTTTACTTTCAAATCATATTATGATGTGAGACATTAAGGCTAGCTATTTGTTGTCATGGATGGTAGGCATGGCTGCCACGAACTCATGTAACCACACACTGGGCTGTATAAGAAACATGAAATGGGTTTTAGATATACTTGTCTCAATACAGTTTTTACCTTATGTATAAAGGCACAAACATCCACCCCATTTCATTAGAAAGTGAGAACAGATTTACCTGATGGCTTGATACTTAAATGCTTATTTTGTCCCATTAGCCCCACAGGCGATATGAGGAGTTATTACCCACTCCACGCCTCCTGGTGTTATATTGACAGCTTAGGGTGATGCGTTCCTGGTAGAGATTGCAAGATATTGTAACACCTGTTGCTTGATATGGAAAATGACTGTTTTACATGAGTGCTTCCCCTAAAGGTCGACAGGTTCCTATTGTAGAAATTTCTCAATTCTAATTTTCTCGCTTTCATGAAAATGTTATCCTGCTCAGTCAGTGTTTGTTCTGATGTCACTCTTAAAATGTAAGACACATGTGTTGCAATGAGAATTACCTGATGATTTAGGGTGCTGAGATTCAATCAGAATGTGAAAGAGAATGTACACACGTTGTGAGTGATGTATGGTGTACCAATGTTGTGAAGTTCAAAATTCTATAATATCATCAGCGATAGAAACTAAGTTATAGCCCACTAGTCCTTATAATGATATAGTCCTCATAAGGACTGTAGGACTGGTGCCAGTTTCTAACACACTATAATTGAGAGTGAGTGAGTGAGTGAGTTGGGTTTAACTCCGCTTTTAACAGTATTACAGTTATGGCGCTTAATGTGGGAGGAAAGCCCGAAGTGATGCAGGTCTTAGACGTTTACCACTTTGGTGAAACCCCAAGCACGGGTATGGTGGTGACAAACCTCAAAACATAATTGGGGTGAACCGGGATTCGAACCCACAGTCATAGGTTTCTGGCGTGCCCAAGGGACGTAACTCTGCACAGCGAATCGCGGCGCCTTAGCTGACTGGGCCACCCGTGCCCCTGTATAATTAAGACCTTATGTTGGGTACATGGATGCTGTAGAGCTTGACAAGGTATTCACTACTACCTACTCTGTTGCACTTGGGTGCAGTCGCACCAAGAGTCAGGTACAGGCTGGTACAAGGTGACTACATTGAGGATTTGATGGTTACAATGTGTTTCTCAGTTAACGGACTGTGTGTCACTGTACTGAGAGGCAGCAGAAATTGTTGCTCATATCATCAACCACTGGTTTGTCTGGCTTGTTTATTTACAGGTCTCCTTGATTGTAGTTGGAATATGTCTTAAAAACCTCACTCAATCAGGTATCAACTCTGTGAATAAAGCCTACATGTGTATTGTTTAGTTCATAGCTTTGGCCCATGAAAGCTGTGCCAATTTACAATTGTCAGAGGGGTGCACAAAGCATGTGATCTAGACTACCTCAGTTATTTTAAGGAATTTTAAGGAATTTTAAGGATTTCCTATTCACAACACTGTAAGTACACACTTGTAATTCACTTATCAAATCTACTACATAGATGAAGTTTTTCCAGAACTTAAAAGGCCACTTTTTGGCTCATCTTTGGATACGTCCTGTGCACAGTCTGAGGGAATATTTTCCACATGGTATGCTTGGCGAGGTGAAGGGAGATTTGACACTGAGCTTGTAGGTAGGGATGTTTTACAGTTTCCCCTGGATTGTACCTGAATTGTCAGTATTTGCTGAAGACACACAAACTGTTTGAAGTCTAAATGGATCAGACTGACCATTGTCTGCCTTGTTTGTCTCAGTCTTTATTTGTAGGACCTTGTTTGCACGAGGCATCAATTAGTGTGTTAATATTCTTAGGCTGGTTGTTTGTGTGATGACCTGGCATGAAAGTAAACGCTTATACTTAGCCATACAAGGTTTTTCCTGACACAAAATAGTGCATTCTACATGCGTACTATGGAATGGACACAAACAGGCACTGTGCATCCCATTGAATACAAATGAGTAGACCCATGAAGATCCGGGGTAGAATAGATCTTCAACAACCCATTCTTGCCATAATAGGCGACTATGCTTGTCGTGAGAGGCGACCAATAGGATCGGGTGGTCATGCATGCAGGCTCGCTGACTTGGTTGATGTATGTCATCGATCCCAACTGTGTGGATCGATGCTCATGATGTCAGTCGGGTCCAGACTCGATCATTTCCAGACCGCCATCATATAGCTGGGATATTGCTGAGTGCCGCGTTAAACAACAAACAAACAAACAAACAAGTATGGATGGCATTGGATGTTGAAATGATTAAGTTGAGTCATGTAAGTAAGATATGTCTTATATTTCTTTTCTGATAAGAAATACAGTCAATGTTAGGACAGTCCATTTCCTTCACTCAGACACTAAGTTTTGATTTCAACATGGAAATCTCCATTTCTAGTCAGCGTGGAGCATCACACATACCTTGTATTTATATGCTGTGGGAACAGGCAGGTGCCCTTTGGACTCCCATTTAAGGACCAACCATCAGATATTTGAGGGGGTGGGGGCTGGCATTTTGTATTGAGATTAGACATTTCTTTAGCTGCTACAACACAAGATATGTTTTTATTTTAAACCACGAGCGAGAGAATAGCCCGAGCTCAGGGTAATAGTAATTTTTGTGACGGGCAATTTCTTTTCTCTTTTTGAACAGTCTGAAGCATAGATCTAAGTATTTTTTTCAAGAATTTTCAGGGACAACTTAGTTTTTTCGATAAAATCCCAGCCCCATTGAATAACCTGAAATGATTTGTCCCTTAAACTTAATGCTTGGTACCCATATGAAATATAACCCAGAGATCCTTAGACTTGCCAATATATGTAGATCAAGGTAAATCCCCAAAAGGACTCCTATGAAACTTGGACTAACAAGTTCACATTTTGTATTATATACCAATGTCATGTATGAAAGTTGAACCTCATTGTTTGTTACCTGTCTGAAATGATTCCCTTATGACAGTAATCGTGCCTGAGTGAGCCCCTTTTAAGTAAACTTTTTAAAATACTGCATGCCCTAGAGACACAGGTATTGCTAATTCTTCCATCCTGGACCAAGATTTCTATAATGGATTATGTGAAACAATAGGATTGTTTTAATTGTCTTTGTACATGATATGCATTGCAGGAATAAATTCAAGATTGTACTTTGCACCATGTTAAACACCAAATAGTTCTTAAGGTATTCTTCTGTTTGTTGTTTAACACTGCACAAGGCAGTGTTCCAGCTATGTGTCTATAAATAATTGAGTCTGGTCCAGACAATCCAGTGATTGACATCATGAGCATTGATCAACGCAATTGTGATACGATGACATGGAGCAACAAAGTCAGCGAGCCTGACCACCCAATCAAGTTAGTCGCCTTTTAGGCCAGGGGTATATAGTTATACCAAGGTTCCATCTGTCCGCCTGTTCATCCGTCCGCCCGTCCGAAAACTTTGTCTGCGCGATTTCTCTATTCAGTGGATTCATCTCAAACTTAGTACATATAATCTGTGTCATATGGAGGGGTGCAGTCAAAAGAAAAGGAATTTTTCAAACCCTAACCCTATCCATTATTATCCCCCGCCGCGCGAAAGCGCGAAGCGGGGGATATAGTATTCACGACCGTCTGTACGTCCGTCCGTACGTCCGTCCGTACGTCCCACCTGTTTGTTGCCGCGATATCTCAAGAACTAAACACTGGATTGTCTTCATATTTGGAACTATGGTGTATATACAGACTCCGCAGACACCAGTCGGTTTTGGTGACCTTGACCCCATTTTCAAGGTCACAGCAGGCATATCTGCTTTTGGAGTTGGAAAACGGTGTTGCCGCGATATCTCAAGAACTAAACACTGGATTGTCTTCATATTTGGAACTATGGTGTATATACAGACTCCGCAGACACCAGTCGGTTTTGGTGACCTTGATCCCATTTTCAAGGTCACAGCAGACAAATCTGCTTTTAGAGTTGGAAAACGGTGTTGCCGCGATATCTCAAGAACTAAACACTGGATTGTCTTCATATTTGGAACTATGGTGTATATACAGACTCCGCAGACACCAGTCGGTTTTGGTGACCTTGATCCCATTTTC